ACTCCTTCACAAGCCCACGGCTTCACAACGGGCACACCCCTCGGGAACACTCAGCCCTCAAACACATTGAGGACCACGTGGCCCCCTGGGGAGCACACCTTATCATGGAAGCACCTCGGGGCACCGCAACCCCCCACTTGTAAACAAACAAGGGACCCCTCGACAACACAGGAAATATCATCCACATTCATCGCGCCCTCATTCTCATAATTTGAGGGCTCTCCCTTCGGCATCTCTCAGGATAACAACAGTGAACCTTCGGAAAATCAACGCACGCGCCTTCAGACAGGGATAGCCTTCGGCAAAAATACTGTCACTCATTTCAAACCAGGGTTTCACCTTTTCGACTCGTCATCGGGGGAATTTGGTGCACTCTTTTTCCCTCATTGGAATTTTTCCCCACAGGGTTTTTTCCAATGAGGTTTTTAACGAGGCATCCCCCCAAAATGAAGCGAAAAGCATCACCCCTCGGCTTCATATTGCAGGCAGGCACTACTCTACTCCTTTTCACCACTTTGCAAGTGCCTCAAGGAGTGAGGGACTGGAGAACCCCTTCGGGAGAAATCTTAAAATACAAAATGTCAAAAACTCACCAAAACAGCAACGTGGTCCCTCAAGTCTCAACATGTGGGTAACTATGGGACTGCCTTCGGTGAATCATGCAAACGACAAACTCCTTACCAACTTTACAAACTACAACGAAACAACACCAAAGGACAAACACAAAATACTCCTTTTCCCTCAAGTACCTTTCGGCAAAAGGAGTGAGGGACTCCTGATGGAGTATATGGCCCAGGAACCCCCGGCCCATGGACTCCTACTATTCTAATGGAGGCCCAATAGGCCCAGGAAGCACAACAGGTCCAAATCACAGCGCCCCAAGTATTGAGCAACCCACGTAGCACACTGGGGGTGCCTTCGGTCCCCTGGCCGAAAGCTCCAAATTCTCACAGGATGGCCAACTCAAGCAAACAAAGTTATTAGGAGAAAACGACTAAAATCAGTAGCCCTCGGTACTTAGAGCCCTCGGCACTAAGGAGGTCCCTGGTACTTAGAGCCCTCGGCTAATCATCTGCAATCGAGGGCACCTTTCTCGACAGAATATCCTCTTCACATGCGCCTGAATCACCGTACCAAGTACGACGTCACATCCAACAGCCGCATTAAATGCGGCCACATGCGACTGCCAGTGCCAACCAGTTGATGTGACCCCTCGGCCATTGGATGCTTGACACGTGTCCCTATCTGGCATTTATTACTACTATAAATAGTGCCCCTTTTCCCCATTTGTAATCCAAGCTAAACACGCTCACCACATTCTCAGCAATATACTCTCTCTCTCTCTTACTTTTACTCTGACTTCTCTCTGGTTACTCCTCGTAGTAACCCCTCGGATACATACCCCCGGGTAGACTACCCATCATCCGCTTTTCCGCATTTAATGGGAGAAAAGGCTTTGAAAGGACTATACGGTGTCATCATTGCGCTTTTTGCACGCCTTTTGTAAAAACCTTTCAGTTTTTCGTGCGGTTGGTTTCCTGCCAGCCACGTGTCATCTCCCCGTTTAATTTTGGGAGGAGTATAAAAGGCGAAAGCTCCTTCTTTCCGCTTTCTTTGCTTTCAAATTTTCAGAGCTTTTCAAGCAGTTTCAGAGTTTTCGTCTTCCCTGGTCTAGTTTGTTGTCGTTGTTTTCACCATCATTTCACCTTTTCATCAGGTTAGCCCTCGACTCTTTATTTATGCTTTAATCGTTGTTTGTTCGTCAGAAAACCCAAAACAATGGTTTTTTCGTCCTACTAATTTTTTGGGCACTGGGGGTTTACAGACCCCCATGGCGCTTGAGGCCGGTACCCCTGGACTCGGAATTGCACATAGATGTCGATTTCAGTGTTTGATTTTGTTTGGGGGTCGGATTTTTGTTCCTTAACCATAGATTCTGACTTTTTGCATGTCTGCATATATTTTTTGCAAATTTCAAGAAAAATGGTTTCTCACCGTGATTCTGCTAGTACCGGTGATAAGGTTGTTCGTGACCCTCAGCGCGAGGTTGAGGAATTCGTATACGTTCAGGGGCCTATTTGATCCTTTTTTTAGTCTTTAAATTTTTAAGGGTATGTTATAAGATTTATAGATTATTTAAGTTTTTAATGAGTGGATCTCAAAATTTAAAGGAAAAATTGATCATTTTTTCTTTAATTTGAAAACAAGTTTTACGAACAACGTAACTTGAACATTTTTTAAATTTTTTTTGAAATGATAATAAATATATTTAGATTGCTATTTGAACAAAGTTCTTTTCATCTCTCTATTGGATCTACAACCTCTTGCAATTAAACCTACTTAAAAATAATTCAATTAAATTTGATTTTATATATTATTAAAATATTTCATTTTTTTTTAATTTTTAATTACTTGAGATGTAGGTTGTAATAGATTTATTGTCTTAAGAGAAAATATTTAAAGGGTGTTGAAGTGATCCACCATATCTGCAATATAAGATATCTTTTAACCAAATAAATTAATGTCACGTTCCCTTAATCTTAACCAAACACGAATGGGAATAAATTGAATACATTCTCATCAAACTAACATACTCAGCAATCAGGCATTCCCATGGTAATCTGACATTCCTTGAATCAGAAGCCCCCTTAAGGGTTGAGGTGTGATAAGCTGATGGTGCCGCCAAGCAATTAGATGAGATATAGAGTTACCAATATGATTAATAAATTGAAGTGGACAATTTTGTCCGATCTTGAACAAAATGGGGTGCGCCCAGCAATTATTGGGGTGCACAAAGGAGGTGCGGTTAAAGAACCTAGGTTTTATCGAAGTATTTGATTTATGGAAATATTTGACTTCGAGCTCGGTTTTGAACGTAAAAAGCTGAGCTTAATGAGCTTTCAAATTTGAACCCAAACTGTGTTTTATGTTTGATCAATAAATCGAGCCGAGCTCGAACATAGTAGTATTCAGCTCGGTTCAAGCTTGAGTCTATCGAACACCCTGAAATTATATATATATAATTTATATACATGTTAAAGATTAAATTAATTAGTATACCGAAATTATTCAACTTAAATTAATTTATATACCGAAATTTAAGTTTAATAAATATAAAGTTGAAATTTATATACCGAAATTATTCAGCTTGGTATTCGCCGTCATTCTTCTTCTTCTTCTCCTCCTCCTCCTCCTCCTATTAATAGTTACTGTTACTATTACTATTACTGTTACTATTACTATTACTGTTACTGTTACTGTTACTATTACTATTACCATTACTATTACTGTTGGTGAATTAGAGTACCAATCAAAGTAATCTGATAACTTCGTTTCTAAAGACGAGAGCTTCTCTCTCTAGGCGGCCGTCTCCCCTAGGTTTAGGGGTTGTTTTTCTTCGTTTTCGTCTTCAACGAAGTGCGGCTTTCTTGTGCGGCTTTCGTCCGCCTTTCGTGAGGCTCTCTTCTTCGGCAAACCGCAACGCCTATATGGCAACCAAAAATTGTGCACCCCTAGTTGCAGGTGAAGAGTTTCGAGGATGTCGTTCATGGCTGAGATCAGAAGGTCATGAACGAAGCGTGGGGCTAGGGGCTAGAACATATCTGTACCGTAGGCAAGGAGCGGAAGAAACTACAGTACTGTTGGACCGTCCCCCTCCTCAATCGCCGCCATGCAATGCAAGAGAGTTTAGAGTTTGGAAGCAGTATTTTAGTTTTAGTGATTGCTTGTTTTTTATGTTTCATGATCAGACTATTTATTTTTATGTTGGTTAATTTTATCGTTGTAAGACTTTTACATTAGAATTGGGTGATTAGAAGTCTGTTTTAACCGTAGTTGGCTCATTTATGCCCATTATAGGATCAACGAGTTATATACTTCCTCCGTTCTTTTTTAGTTGCAACATTCCCTTTTTCACGTTTGCCAATGCACAACTTTGACCAATATTATATTTAATTTTGTATTAGTAAAAATAATTACAAATCAAATTACGAAACTTAGTAATGAGACAAATTCAACAATATTTTTCAAAAAAAAATTATAATTTAAACACATTAATAAATAAAATGTACTACCTCTGTCCCGCTAGAAGATTCCCATAACAAAACGACACGGTTATTTAGGTGATAATTAAATAAAGTACTTGAGGTATATTTTGAGAAGTAATTTTAATAGGTATATATTATAATGTGTTAGTATTGATAACTGTTTTGTTATAAATGTATTACTCCCTCCGTCCCGAAATTATCTTCATTATTTTCTTTTCAGTCCGTCCCAAATTTATCTCATCTTTCCTTTTTTGATAAAGAATATGTGATTCACAATCATTCTTACACATTTCTCTCTCCTCTGCACAACTCTCCACCACACAAATCCCACTATCTTAATCCCTGTGCCCAGTCAAAACCGAAGTTAATTATGGGACGGAGGGAGTATTTGTAATATTTAATGATTAATTTGTCACTTAAGATTGTTAATTGCTTCCTAAAATGGAAATGAGAACCTTCTAACGGGACGTCCAAAAAAGGAAAGTGTGAACCTTCTAACGAGATGGAGGGAGTAGTCAAAATAGAGTACATGAATAGTGTATGAATTTTAATGTTACAAGTAATGCGATACGGAGGATAATATTTTTTTGGAGGTGGTTGACTCTAAGTCTGGTTCGAGTCCGACGGTTAACAGTGATTCTTTTATCGTTTTATCCCTTATCTGAATGGTGTGATATCATCGATTTAAGTCATTCCGCTTTGACGATAAAAAAAGAGTACCAATCAAATGCTACCAAATGGGAATGCACCAAAACATCCCTCAATGTAAAATTTTCCTACCTGCACGGGTAGCTCTGTTGATCGAGCGATGGAAAAATTGGACCAAGTGACCAAGGTTCGAAACTCGAACGGCCGTGTGAAGCTTACAGAACCTGAAATAAGGCTGGATCTTTGGTGCGCACGTATATAAGACCTAACGTCGAGGCGAGGAGATTCCCCACCATCCTTTTGCGTCGAGGCTGGGAGATTCCACCTTTTAGACCAAATGGGTGGGAGTTAGGTTTTGTTTTGGGTGACAAAAGTGATCTGGATGGATATATGCGCCGGCAAATTCTAAGCAAAGCAGCGCCTACTGAAAGGATGCGGTGTAACGCCCGAAAAGCTGTCCTCCTTACCATCCTTGTTTACTCCCCCCTACTAATCGAATCATCTCATGTAATTCTCCTCCTCAAAATAAAATTCGATATACTGTTTTATCTCTTCTTTAATAAGTGATAATTCCGATCATTGCTGGAATCACAGGTTGGTTGCAGTACAAGGTGTATTGCGGAAAACTGCAATTGTATTTCTTCCTTCCCTTCATTCTATTCCCATTTACTTTTTTATTACTCTGAGAAAAATTGCAAAAATTTAGGGCATTTCAAATTTGTTGAGCCGTTAGTACAGTACTTATTTTACTATCGTTTGTTGGATGACATACGCTACAGCGATTGGAATTAAATACGGCAAGTATTGTGGCGTTGGCTGGACTGGTTGTCCAGGGGAGAAACCATGCGATGATCTTGACGCATGTTGCAAAATTCACGATGACTGTGTAGAGAAAGCTGGTATATATATATATATATATATGCTTTCCATATCTATTTATAATCTAAGCTCCCACATTTGTTTTTTATTATTAAAAGAAACAGCTTAGGTATTATTACTTCTCTAATCTGAACTAACTCTTAGTTTAAGGTTGGATTCATAGGATGATGCAAGTGTCCAGTTTCTCGCATTTTAACTCTTAAACATACATGTTGGTGCTGTTACTTCTTCCTACACTGAATTTACCTTCTTTGTTGTTCTTTTATACTCCGTATATCATGACATCAGGTTCTTGCCTTCAAATAAAATTTGCTTTTGATCAACAAATATAAAGATGTAGAGTAGCGATCCTGTCAGGCCGGCCTAATAGGACTCGTCGTCCGGATGAGCCTGTTTTGGGCATGTTCTTCATCAAGTCTAGTTTATGTCCGCCAAATTTCAGCTTAAATAATTTATTTACAAACACTGCGCTTTATATATATAAACAGTGCAATATTTTCTATTCTACATTTGACTGACTTCTCGATTGAATTTTTAGCTGAAATTTGGCGGACATAAACTAGATTTGATGAAGAACATGCGCAACAAAATTCTTCAAAAAAATCCATAAGGAAGGCCCCCAAATGGCCTCAGCCAGACGGCGGTTCCCGTCAGACCGGCTGGACATGAACAATACTCTCTCTCTTAATTTACAAACTACAAATTCATATTGACCTTTAGATGAGTTGATCTTAAAAAACATGATGACATTTTTGTAATAAAAGCCAACTTTTTTAGGATGCAACTCTTTGAACGTTAATATGCAACTGACATATTATGCAACGGAATAATATGCAACACTCTGACCCTCAATATACAATACAAATAGTGTAAAGATGCATCATACAAACGTATGCATAATGAGCACAGTTTGTATCTGATCCGACCTTGTATAAATATATATAAATAATGGATCAAATACAAACACCTCCTAATTTACAAACTACAAACACCTCCATATTATCTGACGCACGGTGGCACTTTGATAATAAAACCAAACTTATTTGGATGCAACACTTTGAATGTTAATATGCAACTGCTTATTTCATTGCAGAATAATATGCAACACTTTGAACGTTAATATGCAATACAAATTGTGTGAAGAGCATCGTACAAATATTTACACATTAAGCAGTATTGTACCTGATATGCCCATTATATGTGTGTGTGTAGTATATATACCCGGTCTGTTTTTTTAAAAGGCGCTATTTTCTATCAAGGAAAAGGAATCCCATAAAAAAGAAAAATTGAAAACCCAAGTTTATGAAACCCTTATTACTTAGGGAAAAGGGTTTCCTAATTCTTCTTAATTACAGGAATGACCCTGGAATGGGAATTTGATGTTTATGAGTTTTTGAAACAGGGAAGCGTGAGCTGGGGGAAGTTTTCGTGCTTTATAGCTCGCATTTTGTATATATTTCCTGGTTATGATATTTATTTTTGCTTGCCCACTTGAAAATTAAGTGAGTTATTATTGGCACTTGGCAGCTTCGCCTTTTGCTTATAGCTCAAACCCTAAAATGCTGTAGGATATGTGCTGTCTGTTTAGTTAGCTTGTCATTGCCAATCTGCTCTAGTTATTCTGTTTGAGTTACGTGTTCATCTACGTTTAATGTTTCCCTGTAATTCTGTAAATGTGTAAACTGTAAAATCACAATTACCAATTAGTTTCTTCTGTACAAGTGCAACTTTTGGAAATGGTGTTTGCATTCCTATAACATCTTTCCCTATTTAGTAATGCTTCTTCCAAATCACTCCTGTGTCCCTTTATTATTTCCTTATTTGAAACTCTGTAGTTCACATGTAAAGTTAATTTAGAGAAGACTCCTTAATCTTTCTTAAAAAGGAGAGAGGAGATAAATCATCATCATCGTCATTACCCAAGTGCCGCAAAGGCTCCCCTGTACTAAAGTAGAGAGATTGTTTCGGAGGAGATAAATTATGGACGGGCAAAATAAAAATAATGAAGATAAAATGAGGTCATAGGGAGTATTAATTTTGGTTGCTAAACCATCCCCTGGTAGTGATGACGCACCTTCCACAACACTGATAATGTGGTTTCTTTTAAGGAGAATGCATTCTATTACAGTTGGTTCGTTTGATTTCATCTTCTTTTTTCATGATATGCCTCAAACTTTGATCAGGTATGACAAATGTCAAATGCCATGAGAAGTTCACGAAGTGCATAAAGAAAGTACAGAAGTCAGGAAAGGTAGGATTTTCAAGAGACTGCCCCTATGACACAGCCGTGCCAACAATGGTACAAGGTATGGAAATGGCCATTATGTTTAGTCAGTTGGGAAACTCAAAGATTGAGCTATGATTAGCTTTTGCACTGCCTGCCCCCCACTTGTTAGATAAAGGTGATAAATATACTAATTTCCATTCCTTCAAGCCTCATTTTTTGTAGTGACTTGAATTTGAGAATTCGTGTCAAGGGTTTGTTGTTGCCTACTTCAATTCTGAAACTCCAACGCCAATCTCCATTAGTAGAATCGCTGTCCTGTTCGAACTTTTTTTATTGTCTGGATTTATCTTCTTGCTCTGATAACTATAGCTTAGTTGTATCTGAACACTAGGTATAGTTTTATGAGAGTAAATGAGTAAGAAACAAAAGTTAGCATCCATTGTTACTGTAATCTTTAATGGTTGGTTTGAATGTTTTTACTTGTACCGTTTCTAGTCCTAGACTAGACCAGAACAAACCAGACTAGACTTCAACAGATCATACTAGAGGTGGACTCGGGTCCGGGCCGGGTCCGGGTCGGGCCTAGGCCCGGGCGGGCCGGCGGTTCAAGAATGGTGGACCCGGGACCAGCCCGGGTAGCCACCGGGTCCGGTCCGGGCCTCCGGTTTGGATTTTTTTTTTTGCTTTCCTAACCCCCCCCTCACCCTCCACCCTCCCAAACTCCCCCAAACCCATCCTACCCATCAAGCCCAACCCGGGTGGAACCCCAAAAATGAAAAAAAAAATCAATTTGGCCCGGGCCGGTTCACCAAATTTGAGACCCGAGCCCGGACCGGCCTACCCCCCGGGCCTAGGCCCGACCCGGACTCGGACCCGAGAACCGGACCGGTCCTGGTCCCGCATAGTAGCGGGCCGGGCCGGTCCACGGGCCGGGTGGCCCGACCCGAGTCCAACCATAGATCATACAGAGAAAAGACATTTAGCAAATAATTTAAGACCAGATCAGACTAGACTTAAACAGACCAAATCAGATTAGAAAATTTCAGTCTAATTAAAAACATTCTTACATTCAAAATCTAAAGATTTTTCTACTTGCACTTTAGTCCACCATGAATATAGAACTTCCAAACTTAGGAAAAACGTTGAAGATTTTGTCATTAAAGATATGCAAAGAAGTCGTGTTCCATAAGATGCTCACTAGAATGGCTTTAAAATGTGCAACCCTGTATAGTTTGACAATTCAGAGCTCATTCGGTAACACTGAAATTGGCTGATTCTGTTGAAATTTATGAAGTTTTGGTCGATTTTGCTGATTTATGTAAAAATTATATTTAGAATATTATTATTAATAAAATAAAGAAAAAATTATACTACCTCCGTCCCAAAAAGGTTCGCCATATTGACTTTTCTTGGTCAATGATGACAAACTTTGGACAATAATTTTAATTATTATATTTGTATATAATAAATAAATTTTATACTTTCGTGAAAATATTTTGAATAAGAAACATTTTGAACAAATCATACAGAGAAAAGATATTTAACAAATCAGTAAAGACCAGATCACACAAGACTTAAACAGACCAGATCAGACTAGAAAATTTCAGTCTAATTAAAAACACTTACATTCAAAATCTAAAGATTTTTCTACTTGCACTTTAGTCCACCTTGAATATAGAACTTCCAGTTCTTAGGAAAAACGTTGAAGATTTTGTCATTGAAGATATGCAAAGAAGTCATGTTCCATAACATGCTCACTGGAATGAATTTAAAATGTGCAACCCTGTATAGTTTGACAATTCAGAGCCCATTTAGTAACATTGAAATCGGCTGATTCTGCTGAAATTTATGAAGTTTCGGCTGATTTTGCTGATTTATGTAAAAATTATATTTAGAATATTATTATTAATAAAATAAAGAAAAAATTATACATAGTACTACGTATGAAAAAGCTAAAATGTCATTTACAGTAACTTTTCCCAATACAGTCAGAAAAGTAACTTTAACCTTAGTTTGTTTAATATTAAACAATTTAGTGTTCGGAATCAAAAATTACTTGTTTGGTTACAAAGTTGACCGATAAGCATGATAAGCTGTAAAACAGAGTGTGCGAGTGTGTGACACACTATGCGTGTTGCGAAAATAATAGGGAGATGACCTAATATGGCTTCGTTTGGTCTTATCTAGGGATGGACCCGGCCGGTCCGGTTCCGGTTCCAGGCCAGGCCCGGGCGGGCTATTTTTTCAAATTGTTGGGCCCGGAACCGGCTCGGGTTGATATCGGGGCCGGGCCTAACCGGGCCGGGCCTAGGTCAAGGTATTTTTTTTTGTTTTCTAATTAACCCCCGACCCCCCCCCCACCCCCACCCCCAAATCCCCCCAAAACACCCAGCCCTAACCAAGAAAAACAAAAAATTGAAAATAAAAAATAAAAAAAATACTTCCTCCGTCCCAAAATGATGACCTTGTATTTCCTTTTTGGGATGTCCCAAAATGATGGTCTTGTTTCCCTTTTTGGAAAGAAAGATGTGGTCCATATCATTTCACTTTATTATCTTCAAATCTCAACCACAACTTTTACCTTTTCAACCACTTTATCAAAACTTGTGCCCAAAAGAAATGAGACTATCAAATTGGGACGGAGGGAGTAATAAAATAGTCCGGGCCCGGTCCAAACCGCCTGGCCCCGGCTCGAACCGCCCGTCCCGATTCAACAAATAAGGGCCTGAGCCCGGCCCGGCCAACCCTCCCTAACCTGGTAAAAGCCCGGCCCGGTTAGCACCAACCGGGCCGGTCCGGGCCCGCACAGTGGCGGGCCGGGCCGAACCGGTTGGGTAGGGGCTTATCAAATTTTACTACAGTTAGACCATTAGTCAATTATATATAAATCATGTCCGATAAATTATTACTGAAATGTAGTGTAACTGATAGAGATATTTCATAATACTCCCTCAGTTCTGAAATGGTTTGCCAAATTTCCTTTTTTGGATGTCCCAAAAAGATTTGCCATTTCCATTTAAAGTAAGGAATATATGGCTAAAATTAATCCTTTCTCCTTTGTACAAATTTCAACCACACAGTTTTTACTTTATTAATCCACGTGAAAGTAAACTTTGGCCAACATTTTCGGGACGGAGGGAGTAATTATTTAAATATTCTACATCATCAATATTTCTTGTACTTTACTAAAATGGAAAAATAATTTAAATACCTCAAACTTTAATGAGGTGTGCGATAAGTACTCCAAACTTGCATATGTAACACATATTCTCTGAATTTTATATAGAAAGTTATTTTCGCAACATGATTGTATGTTTTTTACAGATTTATTTTTTGGAATAATTACATAATTTGAAATACCCTAAGCTTTGTTAGAATGCAGCTAACATTCTAAAATTTCATTTGTAAAATAATTTATATTACATCCGATACAATTTTGTGTGAACGTACAACAGTCGAATATAGCTAATAATAATAGACAAAATTGAAACAGTAGAAGAATAATTCATCAACAACTCACACCGTATATTGATAATGATGAATCCATGAAGAACAATACACGTATGAATTGAGAGAAAATTATTTTAGGTGCTCTACGAGAATAATATGCGGGAAACAAAATGTGTAGAGACTTCTACTCGGAAACTGACAACGTCAGAACTTGTACCTATCAGCTGAGTTCTGGTTATTTGAGTGATTGGGATTGATGTTTTAACAGATAATGAGCTAGAAGAGGAGACATCAACTCTCTTGGACCGAGTCTCACCTGCCCTCTTTTTTGTCTTAGTCACTCTCGGACCCTTACTTCCACTCGGCTTAGAGGTTCCTTGGGTAAAAATAGTGGGGTTTGACTGTGTCGTAAGAACAGAAGAGATATGTACCTTATATTCCATGACGTATGGATCGTTGGGTGCAGCAAGGTTAAGTAGTGCGTCAGGAATTTGCATCTGGTGCATCTCAACATCGTTTTCGGACTTCTTTAGGTACAACAACTTTGGGATCTCTTGAAGTTCTGCAGATGGTCTCGTCAGGATGTTGGCGTCTTCCTTCATGAAATGATCAATGATAATGGAGAACCATCTGACATACGGAATAAACTTTGTCTTCTTGTCGGATGCTCTTGTATTCAGCTGCTCAAGAATCTCTTACCAGATTAGTTGAGCCCAGCCGTAGTTCTTTCCAAACATGACTCCATGGACTAGCTTGAGAATGTGAATATTGTATCGGTCATGGCCTGATTGCTTTGAGGAGAGACACTTCTTGAGAATAGCAAAGAGAGTTCTCCATGGCCTAGGTAGTTTGTTGCGGTAGAAGTGAGAGAATAATGTCAATGGAGGTAAGTGGCCAATTTTGAGCATATCTGAGAGCAGAGTGTCATCGGACGGGAAAAGGGTCATATGAGGTAGATACGAGTAAGTGGAGGAAGGTGAAAAAGGTATTATGAGTGATTTGGACTGTGGTGTTGGCGATTGTGGCTTCAAGGATAGGATTTGGGTTTTCAGTGGTGTGCATTGTACCCTAGAACTGCCTGAGGTATATCATTGGAACTTGGACAGAACGGGTGAGAGCTGACCACAATGAGTTTCCTTTCAGAATAGAGATCATCACTTTGTCCTGGCACTTGAATACTGTTGGATCTAAAACATAATTGTTGTCCTTGATTTCAATCCAGCTTTCCTTAGGATACACCTCCTCCTAAGATATGAATGCCATCATGCATGATTTCCACAAATAAAACACTTATTAGCAAAAATTGGTTTGAAGCTTGGGTTTTGGGCTAAAGGTAAATGGGTTCTGGATTGGGTCAATTGAGCTTTGAGGTTGAAGTAATTGAGCTTAGGAAACTTCGGGTTGAGGGAATTCAGGTATAGCTTTATGATTTCGGGGGGGGGGGGGTAAGGCTTTGGGATTTTGGCTTGGTGGATTTCGGGTAGGGTTTGGGAGGAATTCGGGTGCCTGACATAAGGATTTCGGGTGAGGGAATTCGAAAGAATGATTTCGGTAGCCCTTCTTTAATGGTGAGATCTCGAGGTTGAATTTCGGGTGGCCGGGTTAAAAGATTTCGGATGAATGATTTCGAAAGTCCGTTTTAAAGATTTCGGGTGACAGAAACTCGGGCTTCCGTTTAGCTTAGAGATTTCGGGTCTTAAAGGATTTCGGGTGGTCTTTGGTGAGGGATTTCGGGGGTTATCTCGGGAAGGGAAATCGACTGAGACAGTTTTCGAGATTGGATTTCGGCTGATGGATTTCGAAGGGTCACAAAGCAGAAGCTTTTGGCTATGGAGTTCTTGGGAAACAGGCGATGGTCAATTGTGGTGAAGGAGAACTGTATTTTAAGGACGGTGATTGATGGTGGTGGAGGTGGCGGCTAATGACAGCGAGGGTGGATTCTGGTGGTTGTGACCGGTTTCCTCGTCGTTGTTTATGGAAGGGTACCTGCAACAAATCAACACACACACACAAAC